TGTTGTATTCATATCGCGAATCCACACATGAGAAAATGTGTGTAATAAAAACTTGTACTTCATCCCGGGTGGGCTTTGACCCACCAACCTTTCGATTAACAGCCGAACGCGCTAACCGATTGCGCCACAGAGACTGCAACATCGGTGTTATGTTGAATTCATATCGCGAATCCAAACATGAGAAAATGTGTGTAATGAAAACTTGCAATTCGTACCTGGGTGGGCTTGAACCACCAACCTTTCGGTTAACAGCCGAACGCGCTAACCGATTGCGCCACAGAGAATGCAACATTGATGTTATGTTGTATTCATATTGCGAATCCACACATGAGAAAATGTGTGTAATAAAAACTTGCACTTCGTCCCTGGGTGGGCTTGAACCACCAACATTTCGGTTAACAGCCGAACGCGCTAACCGATTACGCCACAGAAACTGCAACATTGTTGTTATGTTGTATTCATATCGCGAATCCACACATGAGAAAATGTGTGTAATGAAAACATGTACTTCGTGCCGGGTGGGCTTGAACCACCAACCTTTCGGTTAACAGCCGAACGCGCTAACCGATTGCGCCACAGAGACTGCAACATCGGTGTTATGTTGTATTCATATCGCGAATCCAAACATGAGAAAATGTGTGTAATAAAATCTTGTACTTCGTTTCTGGGTGTGCTTGAACCACCAACCTTTCGGTTAACAGACGAACGCGCTAACCTATTGCGCCACAGAAAATACAACAATGGTGTTATGTTGTATTCATATCGCGAATCCACACATGAGAAAATGTGTGTAATGAAAGCATGTACTTCGTGCCGGGTGGGCTTGAACTACCAACCTTTCGGATAACAGGCAAACGCGCTAACTGATTGCCCCACAGAGACTGCAACAATGATGTTATGTTGTACTCATATCGCTAATCCACACATAATAAATTGAGTTTAAAAAAATCTTGTACTTCGTCCCTGGGTGGGCTTGAACCACCAACCTTTCGTTTAACAGCCGAACGCGCTAATCGATTGCGCCACAGAGACTGCAACATTGGTGTTATGTTGTATTCATATCGCAAATCCACACATGAGAAAATGTGTGTAATAAAAACTTGCACTTCGTACCTTGGAGGGCTTGAACCACCAACCTTTCGGTTAACAGCCAAACGCGCTAACTGATTGCGCCACAGAGACTGCAACATCGGTGTTATGTTGTATTCATATCGCGAATCCAAACATGAGAAAATGTGTGTAATGAAAACTTGCAATTCGTACCTTGGTGGGCTTGAACCACCAACCTTTCGGTTAACAGCCGAACGCGCTAACCGATTGCGCCACAGAGAATGCAACATTGATGTTATGTTGTATTCATATCGCGAATTCACACATGAGAAAATGTGTGTAATAAAAACTTGCACTTCGTCCCTGGGTGGGCTTGAACCACCAACATTTCGGTTAACAGCCGAACGCGCTAACCGATTACGCCACAGAAACTGCAACATTGTTGTTATGTTGTATTCATATCGCGAATCCACACATGAGAAAATGTGTGTAATGAAAACATGTACTTCGCGCCGGGTGGGCTTGAACCACCAACCTTTCGGTTAACAGCCGAACGCGCTAACCGATTGCGCCACAGAGACTGCAACATCGGTGTTATGTTGTATTCATATCGCGAATTCACACATGAGAAAATGTGTGTAATAAAATCTTGTACTTCGTTTCTGGGTGTGCTTGAACCACCAACCTTTCGGTTAACAGACGAACGCGCTAACCTATTGCGCCACAGAAAATACAACAATGGTGTTATGTTGTATTCATATCGCGAATCCACACATGAGAAAATGTGTGTAATGAAAACATGTACTTCGTGCCGGGTGGGCTTGAACCACCAACCTTTCGGTTAACAGCCAAACGCGCTAACCGATTGCGCCACAGAGACTGCAACATTGATGTTATGTTGTATTCATATCGCGAATCCACACATGAGAAAATGTGTGTAATGAAAACATGTACTTCGTGCCGGGTGGGCTTGAACCACCAACCTTTCGGTTAACAGGCAAACGCGCTAACTGATTGCCCCACAGAGACTGCAACAATGATGTTATGTTGTACTCATATCGCTAATCCACACATAATAAATTGAGTTTAAAAAAATCTTGTACTTCGTCCCTGGGTGGGCTTGAACCACCAGCCTTTCGTTTAACAGCCGAACGCGCTAATCGATTGCGCCACAGAGACTGCAACATTGGTGTTATGTTGTATTCATATCGCGAATCCACACATGAGAAAATGTGTGTAAATAAAAACTTGTCCTTCGTCCCTGGGTGGGCTTGAACCACCAACCTTTCGGTTAACAGCCGAACGCGCTAACCGATTGCGCCACAGAGACTGCAACATTGGTGTTATGTTGTATTCATATCGCGAATCCACACATGAGAAAATGTGTGTAAATAAAAACTTGTCCTTCGTCCCTGGGTGGGCTAGAACCACCAACCTTTCGGTTAACAGCCGAACGCGCTAACCGATTACGCCACAGAAACTGCAACATTGTTGTTATGTTGTATTCATATCGCGAATCCACACATGAGAAAATGTGGGTAATAAAATCTTGCACTTCGTACAGCCGAACGCGCTAACCGATTGCGCCACATAGAATGCAACATTGATGTTATGTTGTATTCATATCGCGAATCCACACATGAGAAAATGTGTGTAATAAAAGCTTGCACTTCGTCCCTGGGTGGGCTTGAACCACCAACATTTCGGTTAACAGCCGAACGCGCTAACCGATTACGCCACAGAAACTGCAACATTGTTGTTATGTTGTATTCATATCGCGAATCCACACATGAGAAAATGTGTGTAATGAAAACATGTACTTCGTGCCGGGTGGGCTTGAACCACCAACCTTTCGGTTAACAGCCGAACGCGCTAACCGATTGCGCCACAGAGACTGCAGCATCGGTGTTATGTTGTATTCATATCGCGAATCCAAACATGAGAAAATGTGTGTAATAAAATCTTGTACTTCGTTTCTGGGTGTGCTTGAACCACCAACCTTTCGGTTAACAGACGAACGCGCTAGCCTATTACGCCACAGAAAATACAACAATGGTGTTATGTTGTATTCATATCGCGAATCCACACATGAGAAAATGTGTGTAATGAAAACATGTACTTCGTGCCGGGTGGGCTTGAACCACCAACCTTTCGGATAACAGGCAAACGCGCTAACTGATTGCCCCACAGAGACTGCAACAATGATGTTATGTTGTACTCATATCGCTAATCCACACATAATAAATTGAGTTTAAAAAAATCTTGTACTTCGTCCCTGGGTGGGCTTGAACCACCAACCTTTCGTTTAACAGCCGAACGCGCTAATCGATTGCGCCACAGAACTGCAACATCGGTGTTATGTTGAATTCATATCGCGAATCCAAACATGAGAAAATGTGTGTAATGAAAACTTGCAATTCGTACCTGGGTGGGCTTGAACCACCAACCTTTCGGTTAACAGCCGAACGCGCTAACCGATTGCGCCACATAGAATGCAACATTGATGTTATGTTGTATTCATATCGCGAATCCACACATGAGAAAATGTGTGTAATAAAAACTTGCACTTCGTCCCTGGGTGGGCTTGAACCACCAACATTTCGGTTAACAGCCGAACGCGCTAACCGATTACGCCACAGAAACTGCAACATTGTTGTTATGTTGTATTCATATCGCGAATCCACACATGAGAAAATGTGTGTAATGAAAACATGTACTTCGTGTCGGGTGGGCTTGAACCACCAACCTTTCGGTTAACAGCCGAACGCGCTAACCGATTGCGCCACAGAGACTGCAACATCGGTGTTATGTTGTATTCATATCGCGAATCCAAACATGAGAAAATGTGTGTAATAAAATCTTGTACTTCGTTTCTGGGTGTGCTTGAACCACCAACCTTTCGGTTAACAGACGAACGCGCTAACCTATTACGCCACAGAAAATACAACAATGGTGTTATGTTGTATTCATATCGCGAATCCACACATGAGAAAATGTGTGTAATGAAAACATGTACTTCGTGCCGGGTGGGATTGAACCACCAACCTTTCGGATAACAGGCAAACGCGCTAACTGATTGCCCCACAGAGACTGCAACAATGATGTTATGTTGTACTCATATCGCTAATCCACACATAATAAATTGAGTTTAAAAAAATCTTGTACTTCGTCCCTGGGTGGGCTTGAACCACCAACCTTTCGTTTAACAGCCGAACGCGCTAATCGATTGCGCCACAGAAACTGCAACATTGGTGTTATGTTGTATTCATATCGCGAATCCACACATGAGAAAATGTGTATAATAAAAACTTGCACTTCGTACCTGGGTGGGCTTGAACCACCAACCTTTCGGTTAACAGCCAAACGCGCTAACTGATTGCGCCACAGAGGCTGCAACATGGGTGTTATGTTGTATTCATATCGCGAATCCACACATGACAAAATGTGTGTAATAAAAACTTGTACTTCGTCCCTGGGTGAGCTTGAACCACCAACCTTTCGGTTAACAGCCGAACGCGCTAACCGATTACGCCACAGAAACTGCAACATTGTTGTTATGTTGTATTCATATCGCGAATCCACACATGAGAAAATGTGTATAATAAAAACTTGCACTTCGTACCTGGGTGGGCTTGAACCACCAACCTTTCGGTTAACAGCCAAACGCGCTAACTGATTGCGCCACAGAGGCTGCAACATGGGTGTTATGTTGTATTCATATCGCCAATCCACACATGACAAAATGTGTGTAATGAAAACTTGTACTTCGTCCGGGGTGGGCTTGAACCACCAACCTTTCGGTTAACAGCCGAACGCGCTAACCGATTGCGCCACAGAGAATGCAACACTGATGTTATGTTGTATTCATATCGCGAATCCACACATGAGAAAATGTGTGTAATGAAAACATGTACTTCGTGCCGGGTGGGCTTGAACCACCAACCTTTCGGTTAACAGCCGAACGCGCTAACCGATTGCGCCACAGAGACTACAACATCGGTGTTATGTTGTATTCATATCGCGAATCCAAACATGAGAAAATGTGTGTAATAAAATCTTGTACTTCGTTTCTGGGTGTGCTTGAACCACCAACCTTTCGGTTAACAGACGAACGCGCTAACCTATTGCGCCACAGAAAATACAACAATGGTGTTATGTTGTATTCATATCGCGAATCCACACATGAGAAAATGTGTGTAATAAAAACTTGCACTTCGTCCCTGGGTGGGCTTGAACCACCAATCTTTCGGTTAACAGCCAAACGCGCTAACCGATTGCGCCACAGAGCCTGCAACATTGATGTTATGTTGTATTCATATCGCGAATCCACACATGAGAAAATGTGTGTAATGAAAACATGTACTTCGTGCCGGGTGGGCTTGAACCACCAACCTTTCGTTTAACAGCCGAACGCGCTAATCGATTGCGCCACAGAGACTGCAACATTGGTGTTATGTTGTATTCATATCGCGAATCCACACATGAGAAAATGTGTGTAAATAAAAACTTGTCCTTCGTCCCTGGGTGGGCTTGAACCACGAACCTTTCGGTTAACAGCCGAACGCGCTAACCGATTGCGCCACAGAGACTGCAACATTGGTGTTATGTTGTATTCATATCGCGAATCCACACATGAGAAAATGTGTGTAAATAAAAACTTGTCCTTCGTCCCTGGGTGGGCTAGAACCACCAACCTTTCGGTTAACAGCCGAACGCGCTAACCGATTACGCCACAGAAACTGCAACATTGTTGTTATGTTGTATTCATATCGCGAATCCACACATGAGAAAATGTGTGTAATAAAATCTTGCACTTCGTACCTGGGTGGGCTTGAACCACCAACCTTTCGGTTAACAGCCAAACGGGCTAACTGATTGTGCCACAGAGGCTGCAACATGGGTGTTATGTTGTATTCATATCGCGAATCCACACATGACAAAATGTGTGTAATGAAAACTTGTACTTCGTCCCGGGTGGGCTTGACCCACCAACCTTTCGATTAACAGCCGAACGCGCTAACCGATTGCGCCACAGAGACTGCAACATCGGTGTTATGTTGAATTCATATCGCGAATCCAAACATGAGAAAATGTGTGTAATGAAAACTTGCAATTCGTACCTGGGTGGGCTTGAACCACCAACCTTTCGGTTAACAGCCGAACGCGCTAACCGATTGCGCCACATAGAATGCAACATTGATGTTATGTTGTATTCATATCGCGAATCCACACATGAGAAAATGTGTGTAATAAAAACTTGCACTTCGTCCCTGGGTGGGCTTGAACCACCAACATTTCGGTTAACAGCCGAACGCGCTAACCGATTACGCCACAGAAACTGCAACATTGTTGTTATGTTGTATTCATATCGCGAATCCACACATGAGAAAATGTGTGTAATGAAAACATGTACTTCGTGCCGGGTGGGCTTGAACCACCAACCTTTCGGTTAACAGCCGAACGCGCTAACCGATTGCGCCACAGAGACTGCAACATCGGTGTTATGTTGTATTCATATCGCGAATCCAAACATGAGAAAATGTGTGTAATAAAATCTTGTACTTCGTTTCTGGGTGTGCTTGAACCACCAACCTTTCGGTTAACAGACGAACGCGCTAACCTATTGCGCCACAGAAAATACAACAATGGTGTTATGTTGTATTCATATCGCGAATCCACACATGAGAAAATGTGTGTAATGAAAACATGTACTTCGTGCCGGGTGGGCTTGAACCACCAACCTTTCGGATAACAGGCAAACGCGCTAACTGATTGCCCCACAGAGACTGCAACAATGATGTTATGTTGAACTCATATCGCTAATCCACACATAATAAATTGAGTTTAAAAAAATCTTGTACTTCGTCCCTGGGTGGGCTTGAACCACCAACCTTTCGTTTAACAGCCGAACGCGCTAATCGATTGCGCCACAGAGACTGCAACATTGGTGTTATGTTGTATTCATATCGCGAATTCACACATGAGAAAATGTGTGTAATAAAAACTTCTACTTCGTCCCTGGGTGGGCTTGAACCACCAACCTTCCGGTTAACAGCCGAACGCGCTAACCGATTGCGCCACAGAGACTACAACATTGGTGTTATATTGTATTCATATCGCGAATCCTCACATGAGAAAATGTGTGTAATAAAAACTTCTACTTCGTCCCTGGGTGGGCTTGAATCACCAACCTTTCGGTTAACAGCCGAACGCGCTAACTGATTGCC